GATCACATTTCACTTCAGCCTCTCCTGTTGCTAAAGCAACTCGCGCTCTCTGTACACCAGGAACAAGCTTTAACACGGATTCAACAGCACCGGAGCAAGAAGTGCAAGCCATTCCGACAATCCTTATCCTGCATACCAAAATACATTTCTGGTTTGCCGTTTCCTCTATTAATGTAGCCTTGAATCCTATGTCTTCAATGGTCTGACGGATTGTTTCCTCCTGAATGTTGATGGACAAGATTGTCAAGCATCTTGCAAACTATACTCTAGAAGACGAGCAAATTGGAACGCATCGCTCTTGGGCTCCTTATATAAGTGTCTATAAGTAAACGTGGTTTGGCGAGAGTTTGTGTAGCATAAAATATAACTCAACAGCAGCAGATAATTGTTCCCTTGAAATCCCTGATTCTAAATTTTAGTACTTAAACTTTTTTTCTTTTACAAGTAAAAGCTATTTAAATAACGTTTAGATGCAATTCTGACCAGTGATTTATCCTATTTTAAGTTGAAAAAAGTTATCACAAACCATTTTGGCTTTCCAAAAAAAACAAATCTTTCAAATCCTATAGAAATACGTTTCAGAATTAACATGGTGGAGCTAGGAATTTAGATGCTTTATATTACTTAGAATTTAGACGTTAGTTCCAATTTCCTCTCTCTAAGACTTCACCTCTCTGTTCTATAAGACAGTTTATATTCAAATCCTCCCCCTTTTACCCCACCCCCTGATTTCCAAATGAATTACTTCACTTTCTTTCAATTTCTCCATTTCACCACAATGTGCCAGTAACACAATTTAGAGAGTGCTTTTTACACTTGCACTCTATTTAATTTTCGTAGCTGATGGTTTTTTCTGCAAAATTTTTGCTTTCAAACACACGAAAATTCAGATTCACAATTGGCCCTCAAAGTTGATGGGGATGAAAACAGCGCTGATGTTTATATATGGTATAAACTATAAAACATATCTGTTTAGTCGATAAAAGAGAATGAAGGAAACTTAGTAGCAGTGCAAAGCTACGAACTAAAAACAGGCTAAAACATTCTCATGTCAAGAATATAACAGAACTAAAATGTCTTTAATGTTGACTTACATTGACAGAACTTGGACAGAAAATGACCTGCGTTCTATCTTTCAAGACATCAACTGCCACCTCTTTGATCCCTGGAAGTCTTTTGATGGCTTTCTCAACCGAGCCAGCACATGCAGAGCAAGTCATGCCTATAACTGAGAACAAAGCCTTGGTTTCTGATTCCTGCATGCTCTTCTCTTCATCAGATGAAACTCCTTTTGGGTACTCGGGCATTGAAGAACAGCCTTGGTGACGAATCCTACTCTCTACCCTCATTTCTCATGCATACCGCTGATTGCAACCTACATTCAGTACACTGAGGAATCCTTCATCTTGATCTTTGACATATTTATAGTGCAAAATTTACCCTTTCGGTTAAATTTTTTAAATGAACACTTTGATCATGACTACACATGAATGAGTCACTGGCAAGTTCACGCTCTCTCGCTCAAAAAAAAAAAAATTCTCAAAAAAAAAGAGAAAAAGTTCAAGCTCCCTCTGATTATGACGACATCAAAATCTTTGTCCCGTTGTTTATTCAATCTGCAGGGTGAGTATTTTCAGTTGCATTGAAAGTAAAGTAGCTTTATGATGATTCCGACTTGATTTGATGGATTCCCATTGCTGTCTTCTTCGTTTTTCTCAATCTTAGACCAGGCCATGCACTAGTACTGTTACAGTCAGAATCTATTCTTGATTTTGTTGGATGGAAACCTGGACACTCAATTTGGAACAATATTTGGCAGTGATATAATGGATCTCTCTCGAAAATAATCTAAGTTTGTAATGCCTCGTCTTGAAATTTGAAGGTATGGTTGTGTATAACTAATCGTTGACCAATCTTTCTAGTACATTTTCACCTTCTTTTCCAATAATAGGATATCAATATAGATATAGAACGCTACAAGATGCTAGTGCAACAACTCACCAAGGACGTAATAAAATATGCATTAAAAAGAAATAAGAAAATCACTTCCTTTGCCTCTTGTTTCATGTTTTTTTTAATTGTTTTAATTTGTATAAATAAAAAGAATGCATTATTGCAACTTCAATGAAAATAAAAAATACTCCACTAATTTGGCGACCGAATTGCTTGACATGTCAAAAGGGCACTCTCGTGATTATATTTTGTGTAAGTAGTATGCTTGCCACTTTCCAAAGGCAAAGTGTCCAAAATAGTGCCTTTTTTGTGTTTTGTACAATTGGAAGATATATATTTGTGTTTGGATAGAGTATTATTTGAAATATTACTTGAAATAATTACTGTAACATTTTTTGTGATATGATGTATGTGAGATAAAAAGGTAGTTGAAAATATAAAAAGGTGCATTGAAAAATGTGTTTATAATGCAAGCGAAATATTATATGAAATAATTTAGCAATCCAAACACACTGTGCGCTAAAAAAGTGCATTTGCATGCTTGAATTGCTCTAATTTTTTTATTATTTGTCTCACTTTTGGATGTACGCTAAAAAATTGAATTATATTATGTTTAAATAAAAGATACTACTAAAAAAACATCATACTAATTCAATTATTTTGGGCAAAAGATCTTCTGTTACGCTTTTGTTATGTGACATCCTATACCTCCAAGGATGTAGTTGGGTTGCTTGATTTTTCCTGGATAATGATAAAAGTTTGTTAACACTTCGGCCTTTTGTTGCTGGGCCCGTAATCCAACTTTCCCAAAGCTGATTTACTTTATACTTTATAGGAGGCCCAGCCACTAATGGAGTGAGCAATTACCACCAGAAAATGCTTAATCACTCTCTTTCGAATTTTATTTTTTCAAAATAGAAAATGAACCCAATCATGTCATGGTATGGTTCCTTCCAGTGTAGATTTCCACTTTCCCCGCAATGTGAGTGAAAAGAAAAAAAAAGAAAGATAATTTAGGTACGAAAGGAATACAAGGCATTAAAGAAAGGGAAGACTTCATAGTAAAAAAGCTTTAATTAGAAGACCTACATATCAATTTGGTGAAAAACAGTGGGAAAAAAGGTTTGGTTGCTCTATTCATGTGTTTGCTAGGTTATGATCTTTTGGATAATTCTCTTTGAAATTAATTTGTATATATTGACAATAGATACATACACTAGCGATGCCAGCTAATTGATGATATATATATATATATATATATATATATATATATATATATAGACTAGCAATGCAACTTAATTTTAAATTGAATTCGAACTCAATTTTTGTACATGTGATATAGTGTATACATTGTTAATATATACAAAATTAATATTTTTTTAGTGATAAATTCTTTTAGACAATATGGTACACGTCCCATTTATGCGTTATTGCAGTCATATCATCTGCAATGTGAGAAATTCCACTATAGCAGCATCAATGAAGAAAAGCTTTTGTTCTAAGAAACCATTTTGGTAAGAAAAGAGGTCCAAAAGTCCTTAATAGAAATTAATCTTTCCTTTCTCAATCACCGTACAAGGTGTTAATCTTTAGTGAATGGCATAACCCATTCAATCAAAATGCTGATTGTTCAAAGCACTAGAACTATCCTCCCACCTCCTTTTTCCCGGAGTAAAACAGAAATTTATGGAACCATGACAAGGAACGTGAGAAATAAGACTAAGCAAGATTTAAATAAGGACGATATGGACGATGAAAAGATCCAACATCCAAGAGCAAATCAGTGGATAAAACATCAATTCCACTCAAGAGAAAAAGATGTCCTGATTTATAGAACACTTTACCTAGTTTGAAAGTGCATCCATTGATCTTCAGATGACTGAAAATAACTGTTCAGGCTTGAAAATCCAACTGAAGCAAAGATACAGCTGCCGTGCGCAGCTTGCTTTGCCACACCTTGTCATTTGTGTATATATGCTCCCAATAATTAGCTAAGCCTGGAATGAAATCTCACTATCTGATGGTAACAAAGAAGGGTTATCTTTCTGTTTGTCTCTTAACAGCTTTTCTTTGATTCTCCCTTGCTGTGTGTGTTGCTGTTGCTGTTGCGTTCTACCCTGAAACCGCACATTGAATTAAAGCAAAAAACTCTTTGGCCCTTTACTTTTGATCAGCCCTTTATACATAATAAATTGGACAGCGTACCAATGAGACGCCTCATGTTACCTTTTAACGTTTCGCACTAAAATTGCAGGTCTCTCTCATTTTTGCTTCGCCACGTTAAACTCTCCCGCATGCATTGGATAATTGATGAGAGTCACCAAGAAGATAGGTTATTTCTCAAGCAAATTCCATTTTCTGCGTCTTAAATTTGCATGATTGGTTTCTACCTTTTACCCAATCATGTACTCGATCTAGCCAATCTTTACATACACTACAGGAAAAAAAAAAGAAAAAAGAAAAAAAAGGGTGAGGGAAAGAAAAAGGCAAGAATTTGAGAGAGGAATCTTATTATTATGTGGTTGATGTGGCCACTGGTCGGGTGCTTTTATTGACCATCCAATAACAATCCCACTTTCATTCCATGGTTGTGCCGAAAGGCTGAGAACTCAAAGGATTGGTCTTAGACCAAATCCCAGTCTGGAGAACTGTTTCAAATGAGATTCTTCTCATATCCAAATAAATGGAGCATAACTGTAATGGCATGAGCAGTTTCTAGCTATAAAATGTGTAAGCAAATATGTTGAATTCCCCAAGATCATGTACAGCATCAAATTAACCAAACAGTAGATTTATCTTTGTGACAGCCCCACCTCCCCCTAAGGCGAACCAAAGGGTTCGGCGGACCGTCTGCCCAACTCTCGCCGGGACTCACTACAGTTCTCAAATAAATTACAACACTCACATCCAATAACATAGGGTACAACCTCAATAATAAATGAAATAACATTTCCCAAGCTTAGAACGTATACTTACATACATAACAAATCTCAAGTAGTGGTACAATTCTCCGAATAAAATCAAAAGTTCTCAGTTCTCAAATCAATTACAATTACAATATCAGCCTCAAATATTACATCAAATACTCATCAAGTGAATCGAATTCAAATTATACATGAGATAACCCTTCAGACACTCTAATAACTTATCACACGCACTTCCTTTGCCTCGAGCCCTGTGGAGGAGAAAAATGTTTTGGGGTGAGCTAGACGCTCAGCGAGTGTCCAGTAAAATCAATAATCAATTACATTTCACAATAATGCATTTAGATGATGGCATGATCCAGTGATCAAATGCAAGTTTGTTGCTCTTGTAAGCCAGTAAAATCCTCGTACTTAGAACTCCAACGCTCAAACGGATCAATTAACAATCAAATAGTAATAGGAACCATCGGTGCTCCAAATAAACAGTGGTGGAGACGTTGAGTTTAAGCACAAGACTTCCCAAAAACTCATTGGAGCCAAATCATTTCATGATACACATGCAAGCACTCATGATATGCAATCGAGTAAGCAATGCAAGAAATAGTTCGGAAGTAACTTTGGAAATAGTTGTGGAATCACTCACCAACCACAGCTCATGTTCCATCCATCATAGATCATTGCCTTGATCAAGTCCAAGCCCTAGATTACAAATATCATGTCAAGCAAAGGAAATTCTAAAATCAGCAAGTTCCTATCACCTTTTGGCATTTTAATCACAATTGAAGCTACACTTATCCGATTGAAACGAATCTTATGGCGTTATGAAGCTAAGACAGATACCAACATTTCTTATGAAGACCTCCAAAGTCAAATTATACATTTTCATGGTCAAAAATCGAAATCTTAGAGAAAAATGGAAACTGTCCGTGAAACAGGGTTTAAGGGCAGTCAAGGGTATTTCGGTCATTTCAAATGCTACAGTACTCCAATTGATCTGAAATTTTGCAGGTAGATAGCTAACTCAAATCTCTACAACTTTCATGTTTTGTCCAACAGCTAGTTCGGTCTAAAACATGGATAAATTTGCAGTCCAAGTTGAGTCCAGAAACAAGGTAAAACTGAAATTACACTTCTAAACTAACCTTTGCATATAACTACAATTACACATACGAATCATAATATACACCACATATCTAATTAGGCCACAATGCCTCTTCACTTGAGCCAATTGATAGCTCCAAAACCAATCACAATTAAACCCCAATTCAAAACCCTAAAATTGAAATTTTCCGCACAAATCTGAAATTTTTCGCAAACAACCACAACTAACATACAAAGGCGCCATTTGACACCATATCAAGCTATCATCCCATGACCAACCAACAATTATCATATAAAATCAGAAAATTCACTAATGAATCAGAAAGTTGTCAAACTCCACTTAAAATCATGAAATCATCCACAAAATAGCATATATAACATCTCTAATCCACCAATTAACAATCACTTGAAGTAGATAAGAAGTTCTTAGCAAGATACCTTCAAATCTCAAGAAAATTGGTAGCTTAGTGCTTCCTCCTCCAAAACAACTCCACCAATAGCTTTAAACCTCCTTAGTGAGCACTTGTATGGAATAGATTGCAAAACTAGCGGTTAAGACTCAAGATTTGAGCAAGAAAGTGAAGTAGAAAATGAAGTTTTTCCTCTCTTATTTTCTCTTCTCAAAACAGCCGGCCAAGCCAAGGAAAGAAATGAGTGAAATCTCAGCCAAAGGCAAGATAAGAACGTTGGAAAACAACCGGTCAAACCTGGCTGCTGAGGTACCACGTCACAATCCGGCCAAGATGCCGGCCGGATTGCTGGCCGGATTCGTGGCAGTGGCGAAATCCAAATTTTTTCAAAACTCCAAGCCAATCCGGCCAGGTATCCGGCCAAGAACTGGCCGGATTTCCGGCCGGATTCTCCAAAAACATTTCTAACCAGAAATTTTTCTTTCTTCGTCTTTCGAGGCTTCACAATCTTGCTGTACACATGAATAATAATGCTAGGAAGGATCGTAAAAGATAGTAAGATGCTTGCTATAAGGAAACAGAATTGCAAGTTGCAATGGAAAACCATAGCGTTGGTACGTTAAAACTAACGAAAGAGAACTTTCTAACATGAAATAGAAAGCTGCCTTGCTTCTTTTACAGGTTTGCTTCCTTTTCATGTATACAAGCTAGCCTAAAAAGTGGATCTGAATTCTGAAGTAAAACCATGGACACCATGGATATTTACAACTCAGGAATTTAACGTCAATTACTAATTGCATCCTTTATTCCATTGCTAATGTTCATTCCACAGTTATTCCTCGCATCTCTAAAGTATCCAACTTCTTGGGTCTTCGATAATTCTTCAACAGAAGTGAGCAGCAAACAACGCTCACAGAAGAGGCCGCCATTGCTGCTCCAGCAATCCATGGTGGTAACCGAAATCCAGTTGATGGAAAAAGTGCCCCAGCAGCAATTGGGATGCCAAGGAGATTATAGCCCAAAGCCCAGATGTAGTTCCAACGGATTCGGCGGAAGGTGCTTCTGGAAAGATCTATGGCAGTAATGACATCTTCCAAGTTGCTTTTCATGAGAACAATGTCAGCTGCTTCAATGGCTATGTCTGTTCCTGCACCAATAGCCATCCCAACATCGGCTGCTACAAGCGCTGGTGAATCATTGATTCCATCTCCAACCATTGCCACAACAGAATTTGAAGCCTAAAAATGTGTTAAGCGTAAAAACAATGCTTGCATTGGCAATGTGAGAATGGGCATGTAGAATTTAAATAAACAAATGCAAACAAATTGAAGTACACAAATGCACTATAACTAGATATCTACAAAGTACAAGCCATGTTTCAAAAAGGATGCAGAGAGTAAACAATCATTTATTAAAGCAGACTTGACTATCTTTACCTGCAATTCCTTAACTTTCTCTGCTTTATGCTCGGGTTTGGCTTCTGCGATAACAGTATCAATTCCAACTTCCTTGGCAACAGCATGAGCTGTTCCCCAGTTGTCTCCAGTAACTAATATAGTCTTGATCCTCATGGAATTAAGAATGGAAATGACTTCTTGAGCCCCAGGTTTCAGTGGATCAGATATGGCAAGAACTCCAACTAGTTCGTGATCAATTGATACAAGAATTGCTGTTTGAGCTGAGCTTTCAGTTTCTGATAGGATTTCTTCAGCATCAAGTGAAATACCAATGTTGTTATTCAACATTAAGCTCTTGTTTCCCACAATAACTTCCCTGTTTGTAACAACAGCCTTCACACCATGGCCGGTTATGGACTCGAAATCCTTCACTGCAGGCCATATATTTGTCTCTTCTTCTCCTCTAAATTTTTTAGCATATTCAACAATTGCCTTCGCTAAAGGATGCTCACTATTGACCTGATCAATTACAGCAAACATCAAACAGTCAACTTTTAATTTTGGAGTGTGTAGTGGGTTTTGTTATTTGTAGCTTTGGTTTAATCGAACAGCAGCCATGCTTTCTAGCTTCTTTTGCCTAGTTCCTTTTGGTTTTCTTGTTTTATTTTTGAAGTCTCCAAAAACAGATTATTGTTTTTTTGTTTCAAATTTCAAAAGTACAAGCGTCAAATTTCAAACAGTTAACTCACTATAGTATAACCAAAACAGAAGTACTTCAAACACAATAAGAATATGACAGCCGCAGCATATGAAGAGGCAGTAGACAAGTTCTCAGTTATGCCACAATGTTGGTTACAGCCTTACAGGTTGTCTACTCAGCTCAAGTTAAACAGTTCAAATTTGACGAGAATTTACCTCAGCTGCAGCAACCAGTTCACAAAATTCTCGAAGTACCATATTTTTCAAAAGCCTTGTACTAACAACCACTGGCTTGCCCTTTGTGAGAGTCCCTGTCTTGTCAAAAACTATGCAGTTCACCTGTTAAATAAGGCAAAGTTACGGTGATAGTGAGCAGTTAAGGACATCTTCAACACCACATTAGACTGGTGTTCTTCTTTTAAGTTCCAAGTCATTTTCTCTAATCAACAGGAGCAATTGTACAGTTTCTAACCTTATGTGCACTTTCTAATGCATGACCACCTTTAATCAGGACACCCTGAGAAGCACCAACTCCAGTACCGACCATAACAGCAGTTGGAGTAGCAAGACCAAGGGCACAAGGACAGGCTATGACCATGACAGATATGCCAAATTGGAGGGCAAGCTGAAAGCTGTCCATAGCGGATGGGATCCATGACTTTGGGTAGCCACTGAACTTTCCAGCTAAAAACCAGGCAAGCCAAGTTGAAAAGGATAGAACAATTACCTGTGGATTGTGAAACACCAATAGTTGTCAACTGTTCACAAGTAAAAAAATTTAAATTTCATGTTGAATAGTATGGATTTAATAATCAATATTACACTTACAAGAGGCACAAAGAATTTTGATATGCGATCAGCAAATTTTTGCACAGGAGCTTTAGCCATTTGAGCAGATTCGACAAGTCGAACAATCTGGGAAAGAGCACTTTCTGATCCAACCTTTGTTGCCTTAATATGTAGCACCCCATTCTCATTTACTGTTCCTCCAATAACAACATCATCCTTTCTTTTAGCTGCTGGTCTTGATTCTCCAGTAATCATGCTCTCATTTACATGGCTCTGTCCCCAGATGACAAATCCATCACAAGCTACTTTTGCACCAGGGATGATTTTAATCACGTCATTCTTTTGGATCAAGCGGCTATCTATTTCTTCTTCATTTATCACACTTCCTTCATGATCAAGGGTTAAAAGGATTGCTGTCTCAGGAGCCAAGTCCATGAGTTTGGCAATGGCATCAGATGTCTTCCCCTTTGCCAAAACCTCAAGATACTTGCCCAGTAAAATGAAAGAAATGAGCATTGAACTAGTCTCAAAAAAGTCAGTGGACTCAAAATTTGGAGAGCTTGCAGCTCTCACTACTGAGTAGACTGAATAAAAGTATGCTGTATTTGTTCCTAGAGCAATCAAAACATCCATATTAGCAGATCCATGGCGTAATGCTTTATATGAGCCAGTATAGAATCGTCGGCCTATGATGAACTGTACCGGTGTAGATAATGCCCACCTCAATACCTCCCCAACAGTGAGCATGTTGACAACTTTGGTATCTAGTACATGCTTGAGACCTGGAATATACATGAAAACCATGGAGGTTAAGAAAACAGGAATCGTAAAAACCAAGCTCCAGAGGAATGATTTGTAATATTGTTGAATTTCCTCCTTCTTGTGTGCATCTCTTCCTCCCCCTTCAGGATATAATTTTGCTTTATAGCGTCCTGATCCAGTTGACTCAATCACTTTCATGAAGTTTCTTGGTCCTGTCACATCTGCTTTGTATGAAAGGGATAATTTCTGCAGTTCAGGCTCAATATTTATATCTTCGACTCCTGGTAGAGCTCGAAGAGAATTTACAATTATCCTCATCGAATTTTCAGAGCGTATACCATCAACTTTCAACTGTATTTTGTTTCTGTCCTCCCCGGTACTAACAAGGACGGCTTCAAACCCAGTATCTTCTATGGCTTGCAAAAGGTCATTGCAGCTCAAAATTTTTGGATCGAAATGGACTTCAGCCTCTTCTGTTGCCAAAGCAACTCGTGCTTTCAGCACTCCCGGAATAACCTGCAATGCAGATTCAACAGTACTTGAGCAAGAAGTGCACGTCATTCCTCTGATGCTTATCCTGCACACTTGAGTGGATTTCTCATTTGCATCTTCTTCGATTAGTGTAGCCTGAAATCCAACATCTTCAATGGTTTCACGGATTGTCTCCTCCTGAATGGCAATATACATTGTGAATAGCCAGAGAGATTTAAGAGACATATTATACACTTCTGGACTACACTTGTTTAAAAAGTAAATTTCAATTCACTTCTTGTATATCAAGACATTTAAGTGGTCTCAAATGAGTTTGTTTAATGTGTCTATTACTCCTAAAAAGGAAAACTCATGTCTGAACTGGGTAATAAAGATGTACCCGAGGTGCTCAAAGTTCATATGCACAATCTTAATAATGATCTAACAGATTCCGTTGCATTTTCTGATTTACATTGCTCAACTTAATAGATGCTTCATCTGAATATTTGGTTAAAACCACAACATACATGCCAGTATGCTTCTGAAAGATTTAAGAAATACCAACAATAGGTCAGATTTCATCAACCTGCAATATGAATGAAGGTTCAAGTCCACTTAATATCACAAAGTGCCGCTGAATATGCTTCACAATTCATATAGTCCACAGTTTTCTATTTGTGCAGGATCTGTTTTTGGTGTCTCAGGCCTTAAAGATCTTTTCAGCGAGTCATTACAAACATATATGGTGCATTCAAATATTATCTTTTACTCAGCAAGAATATCATGCTCTATGAATTATTATGAAGTTCTAAGTGTATATGTTGATAACGAGCAATTCAAAACCAAATATAGCAGATAAGAAAGGAAGAGTTCTCTCTAGTCTTACTAAGCAGCCTGATAAAATTAACATTTCAATCTGGGCAATGAACCATATAACGTCCATACAAGCAAGGCCAGGAGCATCTAGCCACCACTTTGAGTTTCAATTTACCATAACGTCCATCACTATTAACTAGACCAAGAAGCCAAATCTTGATTGGCATCAGATCGTTTATGTATACTCTAATTTGTGTAATCTTTGACTTTTCTGGTCAAAATCAAATTTATTATTC